TTTTAATTATTTTGGAGCCAAATGGTCATTAGTGTTATCAAAATTTTGTGGTGATTTGTGGCCACTTATATGGGATGATAATAGAAATCATAATGGTTTATATTTATGCTATATGATAAGAAATTGTGGAAGACAAAATGATGATTTATGGATTGATAGATAACAATACGTTATCGTGTATTTTAGGCATCGAAGAAATTAACGATAATTCCAATTATTTCGATTATTTATGAGTTATTTGATTATAAGGAATGTGAGAATAATAGGGATGAACTTCATCATGATTACTGATTATGTGGTTATTTTTTGCTTAAAAAATATAATTAAATGGGTATGTGTATTTAGGTATGTTTATGTGAATTGAGAAATAAAAAGGAGTAGAGAATGGTAAAGCTGGAATTTACTGAGATTGAAAAATTAACATGTGCAATTTTGGTGGTACAAAGATTCTTTTTAAATGATATAGACAATTCATAGGATATATTTATAAAATTACATTTAGACGATATTGTTAATTGCATGGTGGAATTGGAGTATTTATCTTTGGTTAGTTGTAAGAAATTATATAATTAAATTACATTGTGCATCTTCTTTTGATAGAATGTTAGACACTATGAAGACAAGTTCAAAAGAAAGACTATCAACTATGGTTGGTTAATTAAAGGAGACTTGGATAATTATTTATTTTCATGGAATTGACATATAAGAGCTAGACACAAGTGACTATAATTGAGGTTATATATACTATTGAAATATTCTAAGAACATATGACGAAATGGGCGAAAGAATGTTGTTCGATCTTAATATGTAACCATTGTTATTGAAAAGAGTTTGATTAGAGAATAGTTTAAATTAGGACATAAGATGAAGATTTGGAGAACATGAAAAGTATTATTTTGAACATCAAATTGGAAAAATAATTGAATTTTCCTAAGGTTTTGGAAAAAAAAAATGATGAGAATATCAAATATTGACTCGTAGGAAGTTATTAAAAGTATGATAAGAAAGATTAAATTTTGGGACTAAAAGTTCGTGGGAGAAATCATTCAATAGAAGAAGCATTATGGCAAGTGATAATCAAATGTGTTCTCTACATATTTATATGTGCAAATCTTAGCCAATTGAATTTCGAGGACGAAATTCTTTGAAGGAGGTAAGTTTTGTAATACCTTAAATATTAAATATGTATATATATAAAAGAGAGTCAAACATATCATGCCATACTTTAAAAAAAAAATGAAGAAGAAGAAGAAGAAAATAGAAAATAGAAAATTTTTGCCAACGTGTTAGGAATTAAGTGGTCTATATTATTAGGCTTGAATTCCTCAATTTTGAAAAGTAAGTAAAAAGTTTCTTATTGTCAAATTATGTTTGATTTTATAGTTGGTAGATTGTTAGATTAAATTAAATTTTATTGAAGGGGTTAAGTATACTAAACTACAAATTGAGTAAAATGAAAGAAAAACTAGTTTTAGTGATTAAATAGACTGTAGAAACCAATTAAACATGAAATGATTAAGTTTGGGTATCGCTTATTTAATTATTGAAATTATTTAAAATAATTATTTATTTATTTAAAAATTATATCGTATTTTAGGCGATGATATTGACATTAGAACAGCTTACCAACCGGATTGATTTTGCGAACATAGTATTGTGAGTGAAAAAATATAAATATTTTTAAAGTATTTATAAATTAAGTATATTGTTAAAGAATGTGCAATTATATGCAATTATGTGTTTGAATTATATGGTTATTATGGAAATATCTTTTATTTGATGCATATGGATTTTAAAGATTGTATATGGTACATTGTCAATTGGAACATAAGGTATGATTTTGAGATCGGCCAGAAAAGCACCCGTGATTATATATTTCTTCTAGTGCACTGAGGAGCCTTGGCCGTGTTCTATACTACACTAAGGGGTCTTGGATTGGAGATGAAGGGGTCTTGACCGTATTCTAGAATTGACCGTGTCATACAAAAAAAAAAAAAAAAGATAAGACAAAAGTGGCGGGCGGTGGAAAACCCAAACAAATTCATTATAAATCTATATCAATCCATTTTACACACACAAAGAAACGATGCAGAGGAGAACGAAAGAGAAAAAGAGAAAGAGGAAGAGGAAGAAAAAAGAGAAAGGAAAAAGAAGAAGAAAAAAATTACCAACGTGTTAGGAATTAAGTTGTCTATATTATTAGGCTTGAATTTCTCAATTTTGAAAGGTAAGTAAAAAGTTAATTATTATGAAGTTATGTTTGATTTTATAGTTGTTAGATTGTTAGATTAAATTCAATTTTATTGAAGGGGTTAAGTGTAATGAACTATGAAATTGAGTAAGATGAAAGAAAAACTAGTTTTAGTGATTAAAGAGATTGTAGAAATCGCTCAAACGTGAAATGATTAAATTTGGGTATCGCCTATTTAATTATTGAAATTATTTAAAATAATTAATTGTTTATTTAAAAATTATATCGTATTTCAGGCGACGATACTGATATCAGAACAGCTTACCAATCGGGTTGATTTTGCGAACATTATACTATGAGTGGAAAAATATAAATATTTTTAAAATATTTATAAATTAAGTATATTATCAAAATATGTGTAATTATGCGTTCAAATTATATGATTATTATGGAAATCTCTTTTATTATGATATATGTGGAATATCGAAAATTATTTATGGCATATTTGCGACTTGCTATGTAAGACATGTGATATTGAGATTTGTTTGGTATGTGAGACATGCAATATTGAGATCGGTCAGAAAAGTACCCATGATTATATACTTCTTCTAATTCACAAATGGGCCTTAGCTGTGTTCTATCCTACACGGAGAGTCTTGACCTGATATTGGTCTTGATCGTGTACATATAGTTCACAGAGGAGTCTTAGCAGTGCTCTAGAATTGATTATGAGAGGTCTTTGAGACCGGCTTTCGTTCACGGAGGGGCCAAAGGCTCGTGGCGAAAGTTCTTAACTCGAGAAGCGGATTACATATTTCAGTCAGAGGGTACATATTTGGTGGATTTTTCAGCACGTTTGATGTGATGAGATTATAACATGGTTATCAGCTGATGTTATATCATGATTTTAAGATGATATTTTTATGACCTTACATGAATATTTCACTTTTTGGCTATAACTACATCATGGTAGTTTGTGAATTATTAAATGATATGAATTTGATTTTCGATAAAAATGTATAAATAAAAAAGTATAATTATTTTCGAACTTCTCCACTCACTGAGCTATCAACTCATATATTTTTCTGTAATTTATCTACAAGTGGAAAATTGATTCTTTTTAGCTGGAAGAGCCTAATGATTTCGGAGTGAGAGTCACACGACATGTTGAGTGTTATAATTCATATTGATGAAGCACGAAGTAAATAATTTGGACCCACGCATTATATTTTACATAACCATTTGATTTTGTTGCATTTTTTAAATAACTCATAGTCAGTCTTGGTGATAGATTTAACATCTAGTCAGCATCTATTATCGACGCATGTCACGTTTCGAGTCCACTAGGGTGATTCGGGACGTGTCGTGTCGCCAAAAGCCCGTGACGAAAGTTCTTAGCCCGAAGGGCGGATTACAGATTTTAGTCAGAGGGTACATTTTTTGTGGATCACATGTGATGTGATGAGATGATGGTATAGATATCAGCTGATGACTATATCGTGATTATGAGATGATATTCACAATGTTATAAGAATGACTTACTTTTTGCTATAATTGTATGAGTCTATCATGTGAATATTAAAGGATATGAACTGAATGTTTGATAAAAATATTTAAAGAAAAAAGTATAATTATTTTCGAACTCTTCCACTTACTGAGTTATAAACTCATATATTTTTTCGAAATTTTCTTACAGGTAGCAATTGATTCTTTTAGCTGGAAGAGCCTAATGATTTCGGAATGAGAGCCACATGACATGTTGAGTATTATAAACTCATATTGACGAGGCATAAAGTAAATAATTTGGGCCCATCTCATTATATTTTTCATAGCATTTGATTTTGGCGCATATTTTGTAGTAAGTCATAGTTAGCCTTGGTGGTGGATTCTAGTCAGCATCTATCGTCGGCGTACATCACGTTCCTAATCCACTAGGGTGATTCAAGCCTGGGCATGTCATAGTACCGCTACCTTTTTTAATCAGACCAAACATAATTCGGGTCACCATCTCCTAAATTAGTTTTCGAGTAAGTCCAAATTCTGTATTTCCATAAATGTTAAATTTTGAATATAATTTATTCATGATAGTTTATTTTTTACGAAGAGTCAAGGTCTCGTAAAGAGCAGACCGCACAATTCCTTTATGATCTCGTAACACCATTCCCAACAATCCCCGTCTCCACCCTAACTGCTGCATGGATGTTTAACTTCAACAGACCCACCGTCAGCTTGGACCACTGAAATCAAATAATAGATTATCCGCAAAATAAGATTAGTCTACATGTTTGCGTCGAATAACATTCATAGGCCTAATCAACGATGTAACAGTGACCAATTATATTAGATTCAGTAGCATTTGGAATGTTTGCTATAAATATTCATTAGGAAGGAGGAACGTCTTTTCTTGGCAACTTCACATGAAGCATGATTGAAGTACAATTTCTTGCTCTTTTCCCACCTGACTTATATCTGAAAACAGTAGAAACAACAAGACTACCAGTAATAAATAAATTCCGTTTGCGCTTAAAGAAAGCACTAGTTCAATAAGAATAATAGCCGTTTGCGCTTACAAAATAGGTGTAAAAAGTGACTATCTTATGTCAAATATTGACTAAATTATGGAATCAATTGAAAAGTTTACTTTTCATTAGCAGCCTGACATTGTGGAATCAAATGATGAAATTTCAATCATCTAGAGCCCATGCAAGTCGGGTTAACGAGCGGTGTCGAATTTTAAGACAATAGATGATAAATAACTGGGAATGTTGTTTCTTCCTGTTTGAATCCCCTGCATTGAGTGCTGAAGATACAAAGTCAAGACCAAGGATAGAGATTAAACATGATGAAATCAATTAAAGTTGCATGCTTACTTCTTCTCCTATCATCCTTACTGTCCGTCATAAAGATTTGCACTGCAATTGATACCATCAGTACAACTCAGATCCTCAGAGATGGCGACACCCTGGTTTCATCTGGGGGGAGATTTGAACTGGGATTTTTCAGCCCAAATAACACAAATAATCGGTATGTGGGAATATGGTACACCAACGTAACTATTTTCAAAGCAGTTTGGGTAGCTAATAGAGAAATTCCGGTAACGAATACATCAGGCATCTTGAAGGTCCTCGAGCCAGGTGTGTTGGTTCTTCAGAATGACACTGGTAACATCATATGGTCTTCCAATACATCAAGGGTTGCTAAGACTCCAGTTTTGCAATTGTTGGACTCGGGAAACCTTGTCGTTAGAGAAGCAAATGATGATCGTCCAGAGAATTTTCTCTGGCAAAGTTTTGATTATTTAACCGATACATTTCTGCCAGACATGAATTTTGGTTGGAACTCTGCAACAGGTATCCAGAACTACCTAACATCGTGGATGAACAATAATGATCCAGCTCCAGGAGATTATAAATATTACATAGATCCAACGGGATATCCACAGGAAAAAGAGGTAATGTAATTCTGTGCAGAATGGGACCCTGGAATGGTCTTCGCTTTAGTGGGATACCAAATTCAAGGCTGGATCCAACATACACCTTTGAATTTATCACGGATGAGAACAAGACATTATATAGGGAAGAAGCTATTGACAGATCAGTTATTTCAAGAGTTACTTTGAGTCTGAATGGTGTCACACAGCGCTGGATATGGGTCCATCGTATCCAAGACTGGGTCCTTTACCTGAATATACCATCAGATTATTGTGATACTTATAAATTATGTGGTGCTTATGGTATTTGCAAAATAGCAAATTCTCCTGTATGTGGATGTCTCGATAGATTTGTGCCGAAGGATCCAGAAGGTTGGGTTAGGTCAGATTGGTCAAATGGGTGCATTCGAAGAACACCTTTGAATTGCGAAAAGGGTGATGTATTTTTGAAGTATTCTGGAGTTAAAATGCCAGACTCACGATATTCTTGGGTTAACAAGAATATGACACTTGAAGAATGCAAAGTAAAGTGTTTAAAGAATTGCTCTTGTGTAGCATACACACAATTAGATATCAGCATAAAGGGAAGTGGATGCTTGTTTTGGTCTGAAGAATTGAATGACATTAGAGATCTATCTGTAGATGGACAAGATATTTACATTAGAATGGCTTCTTCTGAGTTGGGTAAGAATATGAATATCAATTAATACGTCAGCATTAATACTTACTTCACTTAGAAAGACCTTATTTTGTTATCATTACATCAGTAGGCAAAAAAATTTATGAGCTAGTAAAATATTACGTATACCTTTTGTGTGACTTCCAAATTGTGCCTATTATAAAAGACTATCTATTTTCTTTGGATAAAACTTGTTTGCAGATTCAAAAGGAACGAGAAGAAAAATATTGATTTCGAGTATGACTTCATTGATGGGAATGGTTCTGCTAGGCCTCTGCTTGATGTTATATTACTGGAAAAGGAAGAAAAACTACGCAAATGGGATAATAGGAGGCCAAAACAAAGACTTTGAACTGCCATTGTTCGACTTATCTACAGTTTCAAGAGCTACCAATAACTTTTCAACCAACAACAAGCTTGGACAAGGTGGATATGGGCCTGTTTATAAGGTAAATATATGCTAAATCTATATGTAGTTTTCAGACATTACTTTTGAGCAAATCAGAGAAACACGTTATAGATGTCTCTAGATAGTAATATTGCTTGCAATCCTGATATTATCCTATTAATCTGTGAACAGATGCTGGAGTTTTGGAAGAATGATATGACTAGTGAACTTTATTTGAGAGGAGATGCCCCAAAGTGAAATCATCTACGGAAATGAGGATTTAGAACCATAAATAACCCTTAATTCTTAAGCCTATACATTATGTGCATCAAAATAATATTTCTTATTTTTATATTTTCAAAGAATTTTTGCAGAAGATGATCAATGTCTTCTGAAAAATTAGAATTGCTCCATGTCGGGTAGACCTGAAAAGAAGTGGTCTTCTCTTGGAACTTCTAAAAGATTTTTAACATTTTCCTTCCGCAAATTGAGCTTCATACGCATATATGTAGCGAATTTCAAATTCTCAGTTCTCATTTATAAGAAAAGGGAGTCCCTAAACTCAATCGTTATGGCATCTATTATTGCCTAGGAGAAAAGTTAAAACAGAGTAAAAGATAAATAGAAACAGAATGGAAGCCTGCACTAATTCAAGTTCATAAAGTAATCCTTTTACAAATGCACAATTTATGATTTCAGGGAGTGCTGGAAAACGGGCAAGAGATTGCCGTGAAAAGGTTGTCAAAAACTTCCACGCAAGGAATTATTGAATTCAAGAATGAAGTTATCTGTATTGCCAAACTTCAGCATCGAAATCTTGTGAAACTTCTAGGATACTGCATTCAAGGAGAGGAAAAGATGTTGATTTATGAATACATGCCCAACAAAAGCCTGGACTTTTTTTTATTTGGTGAGTAATTCTAACTCTAGTACAGTCAGCACAAAATTACGTAAAATTTTTTTGGAGAATTAATTTAATATGTAGCCATAATAAATATTTAATATTTTTAAGTCACTGTTATGTGGTAAGTAGTATCATAAAAACACATGCAGTGAATAGAAAATTCATTCTAGTCAAAAATTGAATCCAAGGTGATTGCATAAATATGTGAAAGTGATGTTGATTCGGTATTAAACATGTATAGTTCTGCAATATATTTTTCGACACAGCTGACAACATATTTTGGATTCAATTTTCTGATGTCCAAGCTTTGTAAAGCTGGATATGGTATACTGACACTAGCAAAATTTTTTGGCAGATGAAACAAGAAGTAAATTACTTGATTGGCCCAAGCGCCTCAAAGTTGTTAACGGAGTTGCTAGGGCACTTATGTATATTCATCAAGATTCCCAGTTGAGAATTATCCATAGAGACCTCAAAGCTAGTAACATATTGCTAGATACCGACATGAAACCTAAAATATCAGACTTTGGAATTGCTAAATGTTTTCGAGAGAATGAAATTGAAGTTAAGACAAGTCGAGTGGTTGGAACATAGTAAGAAACTCAAAATACAACATATATTTTGTATACTTCCATTTGTCAGAATATAATATAACTAATACTTTCACACAGCGGCTACATGTCACCAGAATATGCAGTGCATGGTCGGTTCTCAGCAAAATCAGATGTGTTTAGCTTTGGTGTTCTTGTGCTGGAAATTGTGAGTGGCAAGAGAAATAGTGGGTTTTCCCGTGAAGATCAACACCTCAACCTTCTTTGACATGTAGTTTTTGTCTTAAATATGTTAACATTTATCTACGTTTATTATTTTTGCACTGAACCTGGTGACAGGGTAGGTTGACATGGTTATATTTATACAGGCATGGACACTTTATAAGGGAGGAAGGTCATTGGAACTTATTGATCCTTTTCTACTGGACTTGGCTAATCCATCCGAAGTACTTCGATTAATCCATGTGGGCCTTTTGTGTGTGCAACAATGTCCAGATGATAGACCAAGCATGGCTTCAGTGGTTGCAATGTTGGACAATGAAGTTATATTGCCTCCAGCAAATCAACCTGGATTTTTCACAGAAAGAGATGTATTTGTAGTTAAAAGTACAACTAGCTCCTCATTCAATGAAGTAACCATTACACAACTGGAAGCACGATGAACGTATATTATTTTGGTGCTTGACTAATTAACTCGTGAACATATTTCCCCTCAACTCCATTTTGGGATTTTTCTAACACAATGTTGTGTATTGAAAATTCAGTATTGTAGAATCAGTTTCTAATCCTTAAATTTAGTTTGAGAAATTTGAAGTACATACTTATCATGGAGACTTTAAGACACTTGTATTTGACTAGTAAGTTCAGCAAAGCATGATGCTACATTAACGATGGATTTAGCGATGGTTGTAATTTTCTCACTATCTTTTAAATGTTGTTTGAAAAATAAAAGTGAAAGTATCAGTGACATCAATACATTTCGTCCCTAAAATTTTTTCATTTGTTTTTAAATAATTATCTTAAATTTTATAGTAAAATACTAAAATTTCCTAATTCATTTTGCATTACAATTACATCAAGAATATTATAAGTAGTCCTCATGCAAAGCAATCATCAACATTAGCATCTGTCTCACACATTATACTATTTTTCTTAAAAAGCATACATTTTGTAAATATCAATATTCAAAAGGAATATCATATTCATATATAAATATTTTAATATTTTAAAAGAATAAGATGTCCTTAAAGTAATGCTACATAAATATTTAGAAGAATATAATTTAATTTAGAAAATATTGGATTTATTGTTCTTGAAAAAGCACAATTTTAAAAGAACATTATGCTGTCTAATCTCTTGAAGAGATGCGTACTATATCTAAATTTTGTGAAATTAAAATATTTACTCCGAAAGAAAAGCATAAGATTCCTTTTCACGATACTTCTCTTTAGCTTTGGATTTTATTTATTTTTACATATAGTATAATGAATTTATTTTCAGATCGAATACATTAAATTAATCTTACTGGTTACATTGCTCCACGATCAAATTTTGGATTTCCACTTATTTGTCACGCTTGTTTAAATTATTGAATATATGGCCTAATAAATGTCATTTGATAGTGGAAATTACCTGGTATCCTATTTTTAAATAAAGCATATTTTAAATAATAATTAAGATTTAACATTGTATTCCCTCCATCCCATTTATATGGGCCTGTTTTGTTTTTCAAATGGATTAAGAAATCTTATCTAATGTTATTGGAAAAGCAATTTTTGCCAAAAATTTTCCTAATCTACCATTATTTATATTTTTTAGATTAAGTGGGAAAAATTGATTATAACTAAGCAAATTAAATAAGAATGTATTAGTAAATGAACAAAATAAATTATTCTCAATAAAGAAACGAGACTGCATAATTGGAACAAAAAATAAGAAAAGCCAACTTATATAAATGGCACCGAAGAAGTATTAAATGAATATATTACTAATTATATCAATCCACCCCAAATCATTCTCTTTCTTTTCCCAATTTTGATCTCCTCTGGCGATCGATAAACTACCAACGTTGATGGCACTGTGAGAGCTCTACGACAATAGCACCGCCACAGTTGAAGAAGTGTTCAAACGATAGCAGCATCTCTCATTTTTCTCTATATCACCCATTTTGGCTTTGCCTCCGACGACTAACCATCCACTATTCCGGCATTGTGACATCGTTGTGAAGATGAAGCAGCCGCAATGGAGTGAATGTCTCTATGGTAGTAGCGTAGAGGGCCTTTGATTTTTCAGATCCAACGACACAAATCTGATCGCAGCAGCAGTTTCACCATGCTTTCTTGTAAGTTGCTGTTCTACATGCTTCATCGCGACAATCGCCACATTTTGGGAGTGGTTGGCTGGCAATGGCTTTGTTGGATCTAGCGATGATGGTGGTTTTGTTAGATTTGGGCATATGAATATATGGCCTAATAAATGTCATTTGATAGTGGAAATTACCTTGTACCCTATTTGTAAATAAAGCATATTTTAAATAATAATTAAGATTTAATATTGTATTCCCTCCATCCCATTTATATGGGCTTGTTTTGTTTTTCAAATGGATTAAGAAATCTAATCTAATGTTATTGAAAAAGCAAATTTTGCCAGAATTTTTCCAAATCGACCATTATTTATATTTGCACAATTTTTAGATTAAGTGGGAAAAATTGATTATAAATAAGCAAATTAAATAAGAATGTATTATAAAACGGACAAAATAAACCATTCTCAATAAAGAAACGAGACTGCATAATTGGAACAAAAAATAAGAAAATCCAGCTTATATAAATGACACCAAAAGAGTATTAAATGAATGTATTACTAATTATATCAATCCACCCAAAATCATTCTCTTTCTTTTCCCCATTTTGATCTCCTCTGGCACTCGATAAACTACCTACTTTGATGGTACTATGAGAGCTCTACGACAATAATGCTGCCACAGTTGAAGGAGTGTCCAAACGATAGCGGCATCTCTCGTTTTTCTCTATATCACCCATTTTGGCTATGCCTCCGACGACTAACCACCCACTGTTCTAGCACTGTGACATCGTCGTGAAGATGAAGTAGCCGCAATGGAGTGAATGTCTCTATGGTAAGGCCTTTGATTTTTCAGATCCAACAATACTAATCTAATCGCAGCAGCAGTTTCACCATGATTTCCTGTAAGGCCCTATTCTACATGCTTCATTGCGACAATCGCCATGTTTTAGGAGTGGTTGGTTGGTGATGGCTTTGTTGGATTTGGCGGTGATGGTGGTTTTGTTAGATCTAGGCATATGAATATATGGCCTAATAAATGTCATTTGATAGTGGAAATTACCTTGTATCCTATTTTTAAATAAAGCATATTTTAAATAATAATTAAGATTTAATATTGTATTCCCTCCATCCCATTTATATGGGCTTGTCTTGTTTTTCAAATGGATTAAGAAATCTAATCTAATGTTATTGAAAAAGCAATTTTTGCCAAAATTTTTCCTAATCACCATTATTTATATTTGTGCAATTTTTAGATTAAGTGGGAAAAATTGATTATAACTATGCAAATTAAATAAGAATGTATTAGTAAACGGACACACTAAATTATCCTCAATAAAGAAACGAGACTGCATAATTGGAACAAAAAATAAGAAAAGTTAGCTTATATAAATGGCACCAAAGGATTATTGAATAAATAAATTACTAATTATATCAATCCACCCCAAATCATTCTCTTTCTTTTCCCCATTTTGATCTCCTCTCTAGTGATCAATAAACTACCTACGTTGATGGCATTGTGAGAGCTTTACGACAATAACGTCGCCACAGTTGAAGGAGTGTCTAAATGATAGTAGCATCTCTCGTTTTTCTCTATATCACCCATTTTGGCTCTACCTCCGACGACTAACCATCCACTGTTCCGGCACTGTGACGTCGTCATGAAGATGAAACAACCGCAGTGGAGTGAATGTCTCTATGGTAGTAGTGTAGAGGGCCTTTGGTTTTTCAGATCCAATGACACTAATCTGATCGCAGCAGCAGTTTCACCATGCTTTCCTATAAGGCATTGTTCTACATGCTTCATCGCGACAATCGCCATGTTTTGGGGGTGGTTGCTTGGCGATGGCTTTGTTGGATCGAGTTGTGATGGTGGTTTTGTTAGATATGGGCATATGAATATATGGCCTAATAAATGTCATTTGATAGTGGAAATTACCTTGTATCCTATTTTTAAATAAAGCATATTTTAAATAATAATTAAGATTTAATATTGTATTCCCTCCATCCCATTTATATGGGCTTGTTTTGTTTTTCAAATGGATTAAGAAATCTAATCTGATGTTATTGAAAAAGCAAATTTCGCCAAATTTTTTCCAAATCGACCATTATTTATATTTGCACAATTTTTAGATTAAGTGGGAAAAATTGATTATAAATAAGCAAATTAAATAAGAATGTATTAGAAAATAGACAAAATAAGCCATTCTCAATAAAGAAATGAGACTGCATAATTGGAACAAAAAATAAGAAAATCCAGCTTATATAAATGGCACTGAAAGAGTATTAAATGAATATATTACTAATTATATCAATCCACCCCAAGTCATTCTCTTTCTTTTGCCCATTTTGATCTCTTCTCTGGCAATCGATAAACTACCTACTTTGATGGAATTATGAGAGCTCTACGACAATATAGCCGCCACAGTTGAAGGAGTGTCCAAACGATAGCAGCATCTCTCGTTTTTCTCTATATCACCCATTTTGGCTCTGCCTCCGACGACTAACCATCCACTATTCTGGCACTGTGACATCGTCATGAAGATGAAGCAGTCGCAGTGGAGTGAATGTCTCTATGGTAGTAGCGTAGAGGGCCTTTGATTTTTTAGATCCAACCACACTAATCTGATCGCAACAGCAGTTTCACCATGCTTTCCTGTAAGGCCCTGTTCTACATGCTTCATCGCGACAATTGCCATGTTTTAGGAGTGGTTGGTTGGTGATGGCTTTGTTGGATCTGGAGGTGATGGTGGTTTTGTTAGATCTGGGCATATGTATGGCCTAATAAATGTCATTTGATAGTGGAAATTACCTTTTATCCTATTGTTAAATAAAGCATATTTTAAATAATAATTAAGATTTAATATTGTACTCCCTCCATCCCATTTATATGGGCTTGTTTTGTTTTTCAAGTAGATTAAGAAATCTAATCTAATGTTATTGAAAAAGCAATTTTTGCCCAAAT